GGCGGGGGCGCGCAGCGAAAACACGCTAATTAGCGAGGGCGCGGGGCGAAGTTTAATAAATAAAACTTCGTCCCGCGGGGGCGCGGAGCGAGATTTAAGAAATAAAACGGCGGGGTCGCGGGACGAAAACACGCTAATTAGCGGGGGCGCGGGGCGAAGTTTAATAAATAAAACTTCGCCGCGCGCCCCCGCTAATTAGCGTGTTTCGTCCCGCGACCCCGCCAAACGAACTTCCGCTAATTAGCGTGTTTTCGTCCCGCGACCCCGCCAAGCGAAAAGTCGAGAATAAGCAAGTTAAAATGGTGGGGCGCGGAGCGCAAAACACCCTGATTAGCGAGGGTGCGGGGAAAAGTTTGATAAATAAAACTTCGTCCCGCGGGGGCGCGGAGCGAGATTAAAGAAATAAAACGGCGGGGTCGCGGGACGAAAACACGCTAATGAGCGGAAGCGCGGTGAAGTTGGCCGCGGGACGAAAACACGCTGATAAGCGGAGCCGCGTGGCGAAGTTTGAACTTCGCCGCGCGCCCCCGCTAATTAGCGTGTTTTCGTCCCGCGACCCCAACAAGCGAAAAGTCGATAATTAACAATTTAAAAAAACACGCTTATTAACTCCCCCGCTAATAAGCATGTTTTTGCTCCGCGCCCCGCCGTTTTATTTCTTAAATCTCGATCCGCGCACCCGCAGGGGAAGTTTTATTTAACTTCGCCCGCGCCCTCGCTAATAAGCGTGTTTTCGTCCCGCGACCCCGCCGTTTTAACTTTTTAATCGACTCGACTTTTCGCTTGACTGACCCGCGGGGCGAAAACAGGAATGGCGCAAATCAGCCACTATAAAGGAAACATAAGGAATTGTTATTGTTGAATAACAGACAGTAAATGATGTTATTCGAAATGTCTAAGATTCGGATTGCCTACACATACTGTAGGTAAAAGAATATGGCAGTGTACTCGATTTAACGGCGTGTCAGTGAATTTTCTCTTGTTACACAACGATGACAATTACACGATGCATATTCATGTCGGTACCCTCTTTGCGAAATGTACTAAAACGGTACCCTCTTTGCCCTGAAACAGGTAATATTGGTGCTAAAATTATGAACCTTGTCACATAAGATGTGGTTGATGATAAGAAACATATATTTGAAGTTTGAAGTTGATACCTTAATGAAAAAGTTATTTTGAAAAATATTTGACTGCACCAAAACTTTAACCATATATTTGAAGTTTGAAGTTGATACCTTAATGAAAAAGTTATTTTGAAAAATATTTGACTGCACCAAAACTTTAACCTTTTACCCCATGAGCATATTGCAAAAATGGCCGTTTTCATTGAAAAGCCTCCTGTAACAAGTGCAAACTGCTATGAAACTATGAAAAATGCTTTAATACTGATGAATCTTGGCACAAATGTTGACTAGAACAGCATGCTCAATCGTAAATTTCCTGTTACCATGGCAACGGGGGACGTCTCAAAATTGCCAAAAATCACTACTTTGCATTGTTTTTTCTATCAAAACTGATTTCAAAGTGCTGTAACTTCTCAATGAATTGAGATAGAGTACAAGGCTTTTCAGCGTCGGTTAATTATTACCCTGAGGCCATTTTTAGCCTGTCACAAGTCCAAAATATTCTTGGCGATGAGGGGGACTCCGCCCCCCTTCAAACTCCCAAACAGAAAGGGGCACATTCCCCTTCTGGCAACCCCCTGATGTAACATTTGGATGGGGGACGGCGCCGAAAAAGTGGTCACTTTTTTAACAACATTTCTCAAACGAAAAACAGTGTTTGGGGCCTAAATAGGGCATTTTTCACTGTTTGAGGCCTCAAAAAGGGGGGGGGCAAAAAGCCGTCGAAACACGCTTATATAAGGGAAAAGGTTAACAAAAAATGATGAAAAACCTTGGAATTACCCAAAAACTAGTTTTTCCATGTTAACACGTGCCCTAACACCTAATTTTGGTGAAAAATTGTTGGTTTTTGAAATTTTTTATTTTTTTAATTAACTCTGAAATCTGGACGCGGACGCCGACGCCGGTGCGAGTATTACAGCTCTCCATATATTTCGTATAGTCGAGCTAAAGAATGACAGTTATAATGGTGATTGACCAACAGTTCATATTGGAAAATGTTTTTGACAAACTTTAAAATCTGCCTGAAAGTTAAAAAAAAAAGACTGCCCAACTCTTTTTATGAAATGTACGTTAGTGGTAAATTCTAATGGATATTTAAGAAAGAATAGTTTGGATCCATGCGTTGTTTATTGTTAATGTGGGAAAAAATGTTTTTATTAAAAGGAATTATGGCAAAATGAAAACTTATTTTGACTTTCACCTGCTCACTCATTTATACACTTGGATGGGCATAGTTTGTAAAAACACATATATATCTTATTTTCCACGTTCATAAATGACCTTGAAGAATTTTCATTCATGGTTATATGACCCCGTTAGATGTAAACATGTTTAAAATATTTTTATTACTATACGCAGACGATATTGTTATATTAAGAACTCCAAAAAAGTATTGATTTATTACGCAAGTATTATGAGCTGTGGAAAATGAAGGTCAATGTTTCTAAAACAAAAATTATGATTTTTAAAAAAGAGGGAACAATACCACGAAATTTAGAATTTTTATACAATGGACAGTCTATTCAGATTGTGAACAATTTTTGTTATTTAGGCGTTGTTTTCACAAGTGGAGGTTCATTAAGTACCGACCACAATACTATAGCAGGCCAAGCTCAAAAAGCAGTATTTACGCTTAATGAATATTTAAACAAATTTGACTTTATTTGTGGGGAATTAGGTCGTGTATCCTTTAAAACTGTGCATCTTTTTAAATATTATTAAATATTGGTTAAAAATATTACATTTGGGAACAAACAAGTATATGTCTTCATTATTTACTCTTTGTTAAAAGATGATTTTGAACAGTATGAAAATAGGCGAAATTGGTGTTCCTTGTTAAAAGATTTGTTATGTTCACTAGAATTTGTTGATGCATGGTTATATCAAGGTGTAGGTGATGATAAGATATTTTTGTCCTTGAAATTAAATGACCAATTTATACAGAACTGGAACTCAAGATTATCAAATTCTAGTAGAGCTTTGTTTTATAGAAATATTTCTTCCTTTAGATACCAACCATATCTTGATTGTTTTACTGCAAATACATTTGTTCAGTCCTTAACACGTTTGAGAGTGTTCTCTCATAGACTACAAGTAGAAGCTGGTAGGTGACAAAAACCAACCAGAATACCCTTAAACGATAGAAAATGTTCAATATGAAATACTATTGAAGACGAGTATCATTTTGTTATTGAATGCTTATTATATACAGAATTAAGAAACACTTATATACACAAGAAGTTTTGGAACAGACCAAATATGTATAAATCAATAGAATTATTAAATTCAGAAAATAAAAAAGTGATAAGAAACCTAGGAATATTTGTTGAAAAAGCTTTTAAACTAAGATATTCATTTAATTATTTGTTAAGATAAGAATTATTTTTGTGAATACCATTAGTAGAAACAATATCATGTAGTCATTAATGTTAACACAGTGTCTATCTATACTGATAACTAAAATGTCTTTTTTTCTATAAACTATGCATACCATTAAAGTGATATATATTTTTCAAAAGATGATTGGTATATTCTAGGGTAACTTTGAATAACGTTACTTCATAAATTTTCTTTTGTCTCTATGGCGAAAGAGCTGTTGTTAAAAATACATTGTGTGGTATGCACATTTATTCCATTGTATGCGATGTGCTCATTTTGTTTTATATAAACGTTTATGTAAAACGAACATTTTAATGATAACAAGTCATTTTGAACATGATTGTTAATTTATAACATATTTATCGGTCTTGCAGTTTTTTTTTCGGTAAGGCCGATATGTTTATGTTATTACCATTACAAATGAATTAAATATGCATCAATTATATTCTATGTTTCTTGTCTTAAAATGTGGCAAGAATCGTGGATATATCCAGTACATGTATATATGTAACATATTATTTGATGAATATATATTATTAGTTATAAAGATTGTTGACAGGTTATATGGCCCTATATAAACGGCTATTTGTAAATATAACCGAGCCGCTAGAGAAAAAATTGAGATTTCTTCACGAATCGACTACAGCCGTGTATATAAAACTATCTAGTGCTCCGCCCACTTGCGTTTTATAATTTTAAACGTCCAGTTTATATAAAATCTGTTCCTTATTAGCTTTCTTATTTACGAAGAACACCCAATATGCACTCTAACCTATACATAAACGTCACGATTATCCAATGAAAAATAACGTTACAAACGTGCAGTATTATAAAATTTCATATAGGTTTAAACTTTAAACATTTATCAAATATATGTTTTCGATAACATTTATATCAAATGATACTATACATATATATATTATGTAGGTTAAAGTACTAGTATTTATACTTGAAGAGTTTGTCGTTATGACCTTCCATGCTGTATGTAAAATAATCCATATTTATGTATGTGCACTGTTCGTTGTCTTGTATTATGGTATTATCATGTCATCGTTGGCATATAAGCCTTACATGATTGAAATAAAAATATGTCTATATACGATGCTTGCTTAAATTTTAAAATACCGCTCAGTGAAAAAGTAATAATTCGATGTCCCCTACATGTGACAAGTTCCTTTTTGTGCACTTGTAGCTTGTACATGTACAGTAAGTGTATTAATAAAATAAAGACAGATTTCCCTATGGTATTATTAAAATGTTGCATGCGCTTGCTATTATGGTCGAATATGTCATCCGTGTGGCATATTTACTTGACATATACGCTTGTATTGAATACAACTGTTTCACAACATAAAAGTACCATTTATACAGCAATTTACCAAGTGTATCTATTACGCGTGAATGCAATTCATATAATCTGATAATACATGTTTAAATCGAAATGTCATGATAAACATACTAGAATGGTGTTTTGTTAAATACAATACTTACTGAAATAATCCAAAAGAATCACTTGTTTAACCTGTTGAACAAACTATGCAATGTATTTAAATGTCACAACCTTGTATACATGTTATATCGGTTTTCTTTATCGATTACAGCACGGTACACGATGACTCGGTGTGCGTAAGAATAATTTGTCGTATTTTTGTTGTATAGATAATCGATATGGGCAGAATGGGTTTTATTTACAATTTGACAATACTAATTTAAATAGATATACTGTATTGTTGATATTATAAGACACCTGTGTTAAACAACTAGCATGCAATGAAGTTTTGTTTTAAAGATAAGACAGATTGTAACTTATAAAATAAGTTTAAATGCAAATTATTTATTGTTAATGTTGTGCGTATATATGCTTATATAACACTGGATATGAACTGTTTCACGAAATGATAATTTGTAATGCTGTATTTTTTTCCTTATGAGATTCCAGGAAAATAGTCGCGGAGTTTTTTTCTGATTTCTAACAGAGGAAAAAATCTCTTAAATATGCAATTATTCGTGCTTAAAAATAAAGAATTGGATTGAAAATCAAAGTTAAATGATAGGGTGCAAATGAATTATCCCGTCACTTTTTCGAAGTCACCACATTTTTAGTAGCCCACGTGTGTGTTTTTAATGATCTTTGTACACTTTGCAGTTGAAACGTTGTATATCAAACTCCAGGGAAATCAAAACAAATGCGGTTTTTAGTGTCATTCAAGCCTGCTTAAAAACAAATTTCGTATCAAAAATATCAAACGTTTTGTAGACCGCTATCAAACTGAAGTTATCCTTTTTTCAAAATCTAAATTTTAAAAAAAGATTACAAAATTTGATAATGTTAAAATATTCAGTCGCATTTAGTAAATATTTAGATTTCTAGAAAGAAGAATTGAAAAATATACATTTTATTCAAAATACTGCATACAATACAAGTGTTGTCTTTGATACATTTGGTAGCATATATAGACAATATGATTTATTATATCCCGTGGAAAGATTGCCTATCACCTCTTTGTACCTGTGGATTACGTGAAACAGCATCTCACTTCTTCTTGCATTGTAGGCAGTATGATAATATCAGACCTTCCTTGATAAATGTTATCAATACTTATTGTATTGTTTCTCTTAAAACCATTATTTCAGGAAACACATCTTTATCAGTTGGAGAGAATGAAAGTATATTCAAAGCTGTTCACACTTATATTGAAAAGTCTAAACGTTTTGACTGATCTGAAAAGATCCATCATCTTTATGAATGTGTCATTCTGCAGTTCGCCCAATTCTATAGCTTCACACTTCTTTATATCTTAAAATTTTCTCATATTTTCTTCTTTACTCGAATTTCATTCCTAATTTAAACTTCTTTACACTTCTTTATGTTTTTCTTTCGATTTTTTTTTCGATTGTTTTGTTCTAATTTTGTCTTATTTTCCTAATAATAATAATGTTGATATATCTTGGATGTAACAATTTATTAAATCATCTGTATCGCCAAAATATGTACCGATGTATAGCTAGAAGTGGAGAGAATTACAATAAGCTTTGAGCTTCCAGTTCAATCCACTTTATCATGATTTTGTATAAATTTTGTGTTTGATGTGAAAATTGTAACTTGATGAAAAAATAAATATGTTTAAACCAAAGATTGCCTATTAATTGCACGAGTGATACTTTGTTGCATGTTCAAAGAAAATTATCACAATCGTTACTTATTTCTAATTTACTGATTGAAAACAAAATCAAGTGACTATTTGGATAAAACATTTTATTGTGATGATTTACGAGTATCTAATATACACTTTAACAGGCATACTGTCATAATAAGCTATAAATCTAACCTTGTTCTGTTTTCTCAAGACATCTTAAATACTATTTGTATTTTTAGGACATATTTTGACCACGTTATATTGAGTGTTACGTTGTTACGTACTTTTCGGGTTTAAGATAACTTTTCTTGTTTTGAAAGCCTTTTGTGTTCTTTGATATCAACGTCTCCTACATCCCCGTTTATTTTGATAAACGTGATAAATGCTTGCTAGATACAAAATGGTAAAAGATAAAACAGTATTCTGTCGTACTTTATAATTGAATTAAACAAATTGCGACAGTCGGGAGTCAAAATATATCCTATTTATTAGGCTTTTCCCGCATGATATTAATTGAATTTAAAACGTTCCCCATTCATTTTATTTACTAGAAAACAAAACAAAAAAATGCAATGTTTTGCAAGCAAAAAACTACAGATTGAAATAAGAAAAAGAAAGGTAGACCCTTAACATAAGCTACGCTATTTCAGTGCAATCACATTTTCAACTTTTCCGCAGTTTGATTCGTACTTTGTGTCCTTTCTACACCGATACATTCCGAAAAATAATGCGCGAAAAGTTTCTAAACAGCGGAAAAAATATTTAACAAATAAATCGTTTTTTAATAAATGAAATTCTTCACGTGACATGTTTGTTCAAAGAAGCAACGTTCTGATAAAAAAAAAAACACATTTTTTTGTTAATATCAAAGAATTTTATTACTTCTGGCTCGCAATCTCGCAATGTAACTAAAATATCTTATCATTTCGATCGTTTTGCTTGATTTGTTCAGTTCGGTAACTATTATATTCTCAGTAATTGTAAAAAATGACCCCTTTAACGGAGTAATATATTGACATAAACACGTATGCACTATAACAATTCTACCATAGCAGACCCCTTAAGGTCCGTACGGTTAAAAGTAAATCGTTGTTAGCATTAAGAGATTCATATATCAGTACGACAAGAACTATGTCACAGAAAGTTTTAAAACTAAAAGTTGTTAAATTTCTTCCAGACATGATCCAGTTGCAACCATTTTAATAGCAACCGATGTTACGCGATATTTTAAATAATTGTTGTTGTTTTTTAGTGTAAAAAACACCTACAAATCGTACTACATTCAAGTCTGCATAACTTCGTTCGCCACTTAAGGGTTTGTAAAAAATGATTTAATGCATGTTAGCACAACCCATATATAAATGGTATATACACAAATTTCTATATAATGTAATAGCTTTAACAATAACATGTAAAATATTGCACACGTGTTGTTGATAATGTAACATACAGATATGTGAATTATATTATTTACATCTACTCTAAAATTATTACATTCAATATAAATTGCACATCATATATTTTTATATTTACATAACTATATAACACTACTATTTTAATTCGAGATTATGATAGTATCCATATATATGAAAAGAAGACACAATTCAAGACAGTTTGATGTCATAAAAAACAAATTAGTCAATCTATAACCGTTAACTTTTTCATTATACATCACGTAATAACGACTAAAAACCCGCCCTTGCTTAAATTTCATTTTAATATGCCATTTTTTTCTGTGTGACCATACCTTAACCTTTACTGACTGTACAAATATTTGACCAAAAAAAAGAAATTTCTTATTTTTCAAGAAAGAAATGTGGTGCAAATCTTCAGGCCTGTATGCGGACGATAAATGCACGTAAACTATGACAATTGTATGTAATCTATGTATAGGCAATGATATATATTGTTATAATATCTCTTTCAATGGTTTGCCTTTTTATCCGCTAAAATATACAGTTCGTTAAAACATATTGTATCAGATTGTTCTTTAATCATGGACATAATTAGCACTTATACTCAATTAAGGCTAGCTTTCATGAATCTAAATCAAGCCGTCTACATTATTGATAGAAATAAGGTACAGATATGGTCACATAATAACTAAACATGCCTAAAATATAAATTGCTTAACAAGTAAGATGAACTTTGAACTTTACTCACTAAAGTATAAACACTGGCTGTTTAAATTCATTGCCGCTTACAATATATAAATTCTCTACAACTCAGACATCCAGGGCTGCACTTCATAGATGATCCTTAGTGTATATTAAGTCTTAGGACATGAGACCAACTTGATCTTTTTAATCTTTAGTCAAATACTGTAATCTATAAAATTCATTCTCCTGAGAAAAGTTAAGAAATACCGTGGCAGACTCTTTTATTTGCAATGTATAAATGCCCATCCGTATTGCTAGTCATAACATAGGGGTCATAAGTTAGGACATGTTCTTTGAAACGCACAATGCCTCAGTTTTGGTCTTAAAACTGATTGCAGGCAGGATTTTATCAATGGCAGTATAAACCCTCATTTCCGTTCCTACATTTGAAGAAAACTCCAGCTCAAGTTCCAGCCAAACTTACACATTTTCAAAACTCAAAGACAACAAATTAAATACTGTAGTTTGCATACATTGTAATCCAGTCTTGTGAAATTTATGTTAAAAAACGGTGTTCGTATAAAATCAGGACACCCCATATATAGAGCGAAGCACGGAATTAATATGTCTTTAGATTAGCTGAATAAAAGGTTGTTATTATACATGTATATAACAAAACCTTTTCCTTAGTAATTAAAGCAGTGAAAAGCCAGCCTTTATACAATAGTGTCATGCTAATTATGTAATGGTGTTAAAATTCACCGCAAAAAGAAGGGGGCGGGGTTTGCGAAATGAAATTCTAAAAATAAAGGAAATATAAGCATTTAAGTGAATGGATTTGTATTTAAACACACATAAACATTTCATGAAACAAATGATCCCATGGTAACTCCAATTCTAGTGGTTATTATATAACAATAAATGACTTTAAAAAATAACCTAATGATTACGGATTATGTGCATACATTTGTATTGTAAAATGAAATGAATCGTTCAAGAGCTATATTTATCTGTTCAAATTTGAAATTGTGAATGAAGTTGATTAGATTTTCTTTCAATTCAAGAATAAATCTAAAGAATACTTGTTTTAATACGTCATCATTTGACATTAGAATTGTGGATCTACGTCATTAAGATTCCACATGGATAATGTTAACACAATTAAGTTTTCGAACATATAAATCTAGCATTTGAATGTATATCATTGTCTAATGCAGAATAAAACCGTATATACAAGCTGAACTAGAAACATAACTGCGATGAAACAATGCTGAAATTAAAAAAAAATAAAGAATAGACACCAATTTTGCAAGGGAACGCAAATAAAAAAGCGTTTTGAAGTACACTAAGTGTAGAGAAAATTTTCGCTCTAATTAGGTAAACAAAACCTGTTGAGTAACCCTGTCTTCAAGCTATTAGACTTATTTAAGCTGATATATTTAACTCATGTAAAAAAATGTCTCTGAATGACTTTATTCTTAACAAAAAATAATCGTGATATAAGTTCATCTTTGTTACCATGGCTTTTCAATTGCACGATTTATTCATTACTCATTTATAAATTTAACTTTAACACACTTCTTGTATAAACATTTTTATTAAGTTTAACCAATTAAACTTTTGAGTGACTGTTCTAAATTATAGCATCCATTTATTTTCTTTTGTCATCCATTTAATTTCGATATTATATGTAAGCGACTTAATTTGGTTCAGTTTCATAGTTAATATCTTCACATAATACACAGAGCACATGCGCACTTCTTGGACACGTGATATGTGTTCAGGGCATGCGCAACATTGAAAACGTTCCCGGTTTGTTGTATCTAGGGTGAGCTTGGTCCACTACCGAAGCTGAAGTATGCGATGGTCGTTGATCGGGGCTCGGACTTTTCTGAAATATCCAGGTCAAGCATTGAATATACAATGTGTCCAATAACTTATCAAATCTTTCATATCAAAAAGTTCTTTTTCCCCAAATATTTGGGGTCAATATTTTTTTTCCATATTTTCCCACTGACTATGTGCCGTATATCAATAAGGTTCATTGCATAGCCCAAATATTTGGGGGTCAATACTAAATTTGTTTTTTTCCCTTTTCTCTTTTTATTCTTATGATCCGTTTGACTGAGTATCTTATTCAAGAACGCACTTTGACTGGAAGTAGAAATTTTGATGCATTTTACTAAACATTTACCTTTAAAACCAGCGACAACGTCAGATATTTTAAATTAAACTTACTTGACACAGGCTAACCTTAAATAACTTAAAAATATCTAATATTACATAAAAATACGAAAATATTTAATTATCTTAGACATATTTATTGAAGCATTTTATTTGTATGATATTTATTAAAGGCTAGTAGAATTAGTAAATGAACTGTATCAAAACCAAAATATAAAATTTGTCGAACAGGGAGATTAAAAGTTAATAAAAATTACATATCAGGCGAACATTATAAATCATATAAAGCGTAAATGGAAGAAATGGTTGCCGCCGATAAAAAGGTAATTTATATAAAGTTAAATGTATTGCAAATTTTATGAATTTCATGCGTTTTTTCATTTCGTGCACTTGATTATATGATAAAATATATTTATTCTACTGTATTCACTCACTCTGGATTCAAAACATTCAATACACAGGTCTATGATATATTTGTACTCGTATATTTCCTAATATTGCTTTAAGGTGGACAAATAAATCTTCAGTGTTTCTAAAATAATTACAAATATTGAAATCTGATTTGTAATTTTTCGTAAAAATGGTGTCGTCAATTACTTAAGCAACGGAAGTATGAGATCTATTTGTCCACATTTTTTCTAAAAAATCTTAAAACAAATTCTATCATGTATCATGAAATGAAATGTCCAAATAAAACATTTTATCTAAAATAAAGATTAAGTAAATGTACTAAAGTAGAACCATAGTACTAAAAATAAGTCTAAAAAATGTAAGCATATTAAATACAAATCCACATCAGCTTATTTAATGTAAGTGCGTTGAGGTAAAGCAAAAACTGTAAGCAGTTAGGCATTGCAAAATAAGAATAAAATTCATTCGATTAAATAATAACGAAAGACAGTTTTGTTAAAAATGAAGCGGAACTTTCTCAGAAAGCCAATCAAATCCACAGGTTTCCACGTAATAGTAGAAATGAACGTACGGAATGCATGTCTATGTATATTCTCTCTCCTCCCATTGATTTTCATGTAGTTTAAATCCCTTTTCATTCAAATCGATTTTATGCAAACTCCCATCTTTATCATGGCCCCTTTTTTCCTGTCTGTCGTGTTACGAAAAATCATACAGTCACATTCTAAAGAAAATCCATTCACACATATATCAAGCAATTTTAGTAACAGGCACATGAGAATCAGACGAAACATGACGTACATAATGACGTATGCACTGGTCAGCAGGCCATTTATGACGTAAAAAGCACATAATATTACGTCATCAAGAGCAATATTAATGTCATCAAAGGCAAGTTAATTGCGTTGATACAAGTCCAAGAAGCAATAGTAGTAGCACCAGGACGGAGGTTAGGTACAAGGTCAAAGGCCAAGGTCACGACAGTTTTACCAGATCGAAAGTCTAAAAAATAGATACATAAAGTTATTTATAGTCTCAAATAAGTGCTCTATTAATATTGTTAGAACAAAATAAATAATTTTTTGAGCTTTGGAAACAACATATAGTTATATGTTTGTAAGATTTTTAGGAAACATGTACAAATAGCATGCACTGTGGGCTATGCTGACCGGTGGTGAAAAGGAGGAGTGGAAGATGTATTATTGTGGATTTATATTTGTGAGGATTGTCACGTGACTTTCTTTTCTGGGCGAAAACAGACAATACTGTACGAACACAAAACAAAGCACAAAGGACAACATTTACCACTGTAATCCATAGAGCACACTGGGGTGTATAGAGATATATTTGAGTGTTTTGGGTGAAGGGAAACACCATAGGTTTGACAATAGTAGATCTATATATGGGATATACTGGAAAATGTGGGGGGACTAAACTAAAATAATGTGACACAATAATAGGTAAATGAAAGAATAATGGGATAAATGAAAATTACAGAAGTCAAAAGAAGTCTGCACCTTGAGGACCAAATTGACTATAAGACTTATATTGACCTGGCGTTACCGATGTACCTCCGTCCGTTGGGGACATATAGTTATCGTCGATGCTACTACTATAGGAAAGCACTGGAGCCCTGCTGACTGGCGGTGCCTGAGGCTCAACGTTAGTAATAGTAGCTGTCATTGGCGCGGATACCTCTTGTCTCGAGCGTTCTCGTCTGCGTCGATGACGACGCTGACCTACTGGAGAAGACGGTGCATCCTGGAAACCATTTTGACCCTCAGACGGATTATCCTGGGAACTGCTAGATTGAACAGAGTGGACTAGACTTCTCGAACGTGTATTCACGCCTTTTTCACTCGTTTCAACGGCCTCTGTTTCCGTTGATTTGTCATCTACATTCGAAAAAACGCTATCTGACTCTTCCGAACCTTCGTCATCTTTCTCCTTTTGCTCAGCCTCGGTTTGTGTTTCTTCGTCAATTTGCTTCGTTTTTGGTAGTGGCTCTTCTTTTTCAGTTTGTACACACGCGGATCGCATCCCTCCCTTGCGCATTGTACCAGGCATGGACAGCTGGCGATTCATACTTTGTCGTGGAGTTCCAGCATCCTCTAAAGTACCAAGATCTAAATTTCCAGGGATAAAGCAAACCTGTTTACCTACTGTCTCAGGTAGAGAGTTAAGTTCAATGTCATTTAGAGCTGTAAGTTTTTCTTGAACCTGCTTTTTCAACAACAAAAGTTCAATGTCTTTACCCTTCAGAACCAGTTCAGTAAGACTACATGTGCTTTTAACAGCATCAAGATTTACTTGTAACTCATTTCTTTGATCAACATGCTTCATTAATTCCGCGCCATACAATTGATGTAAATCATCTATAAGCTCTTTTTCTCTTGACCTCACGTCTGCAATAAATTGAATTGCTGTATCTCTTATTTGTTGTTCAGCCGCTTTTATAAGGGATTCGCATTTACCCAGCGTTACTAACTGTATATCATACAGATCTATCTTAGATTTACAGTTATCCAATAGTGTCTGAATATTCTCTTTGTATTTTACAACAGCATCTGTGAACGAAGTTATTTCGTGATCTTTGTGTTCATTAAATGTACACAGTACACATATGCATGTTTCGCAAGGCTCACAATAAAATCGAACCGCCTCCTCTTTGTGTTCTTTACATTCTATATCTTTCTCTATCTCGCAGTCGAAAATGCTGTGATTCTTCGTGACCTTCGTTTCCCTGTGAAGCTCTACGCAAGGTTTACACAGCAACTTATTACAATCCAGGCATTTGGACGCCGCCTCTCGATGTTTCCTGTTTACCAGTTTACAGATGTCGCAAAATGGAAACTTTGACGGTCGTTGTCGTACAACGAGCTCCGAAAGATTAGAGACAAGAAAGTTATCCGGAAGTTTCTTTACGCCCCCTATCGGCAATTGTGTTCGTTTCCGGCACAGTGGACAAGTAAATTCTCGATAATCGCTGTATTTCTTGTAAGTACATTCTGACATTACGTGATTGTCGATGCATCCTTCGCAGAAGGTATGGAGGCAATCCAAACATTTTGGACTCTTGTACCCTTCCAAACAGATCTTGCATGTGAGAAATTCATCGTGGATTTCCTGCGCAAGTTTACCACTTCCGGTAGTTGCCGTCATCGAGGACTTGATCTCGTTTATAGTGTTGTGGTCAATGGAAGTCGTGTGGTAACGTTCTCTTTCCTGTCGTCTGCGAAACCTGAAATATATAGATAAGACGATTAGTACCATATGCGTGTGATCCAAATACGCATCTACATAATTATATGTGTGAAAGAAATACAGTCTTGAATATACTAACATGTACAAATATGTGGTAATGTAAATTAACTTTGTTTACACCGCCTGTTAATCTTAGATAACAAAAAAAACAAACAATTTATCAACAATTAATTATTTTCTGACCAAAAGCATACCCCACCTGTAAAAAAGTTTGTGCTATATATGATTTGTATTTTACAACTCATTTCAAGTTATTTAAAATAAAATTCTCTCTTTAAGATCTCACGATTAATAAATGTAAAATACGCAATTTAACTTGTTTCTTTCTAGATAATTTCTTTTGCGTATATCATGAAACCCCGTTGCTTTTGATGTACTGATAAAAAAATCTACATGAAGAAATCTTAGATAAGATGGCCCGCAGTCTACACCATAGAGAGTTACCTATGATTTACCTAAGGAATGTCTATTATTAGAACACATACACTATGTATATGTTTAAGATTGGTTATTGTGCCAGAAAATATACCCTACCGTGCATATGGTTTCTTTGTGTATTCTATATTACTCAGTAAAAATAATACAAAAATACAAAACAGCATGCTGGTCTCTACAATGTTAAATCACGTGATCTCTCCAAAATTCCACATACAAATATTATATTAGTACAAAAACGTGATGCCTTATCTCATGCGTGATGTATATATAATTATTATGTTTCCTGTTGATCGGTACAATGTAAAATAAATAATAATTTACGTTTAAGATTGGAAAACAACATTCTTATGTAAAATCATTAGAAAGTAACAAAAAGCAAGTTTAATTTTAAAAAGATGACTGTATGACCATCATTAACATTGTCATTATTTGCATTCATTCTTTAGTTATTTTCTTTGTTGTATACTTACTTGTGCTAATAGTTTCAATTGATTTGCTATAAAGTTTATTCAAATACTCGTACATACAGGTCTATAAAAGATGTGTCAGTGGCAACTAAAATAACACCAGTACATGTAATCATATACTGAACACAAGACAATTATTGTGGTAGCACATGTCTAAATTGCCTTTCAAATTTTATATTAGCTCCTGTTCTATGAAAGTCCACCCCACCCATAACTCATCTTTTTCAAATTACCGACCACAAAATGAGGATACAAACATTGTTTCAAATTTCACCATTGACATTATTTTAGTTTCGATTAAGAGTTTTATTTTGCAATTTACATCAAATAATCTCACTAGCTGATGCATTCAAATAAGTCAAATTTAGTGTAAATGCTACAAAGAACTTGTAGTTTTAAGTTCCACACTCCTCCAACTCAAGCATCATGTATAAAGGCTATATTGGAACAAATCAAATTGGAAGCATTTGAGTAAAACAAACAACACTAATGCACGTTTCAACAAAGGATAGTCTATATGCAAACAATATAGTAGTCCAAATATAACGTGTGTACGTATTTACTGTTGATAAAATGTACGCCCGTACTTTAACAAATCTTAAATTGTTCTAAAACATCAAATGTACAATTTGCATTGAATATAGTAGTTGTCCCTGCGTTAGTATTAGTAAGTAATTGTTTTGAACAATCTAAAAAGAATATGCATCGAGGACAATTGAAATAAAAAGTTAAAAGTGAAAAATTCAAACTAAGTTTTACAGAGTCAATTAATGTGACATAATGGCCAGTACCACTGATAACTGATACAATGGGCCCTGAAAATGTCTAAACTTTGAGACGAAGTACAAGAAACTTTTAACCGTTGCCAGGCAACAATTGACATCAGCTGTTGTGATTATAAAAATGTCTGCAAAGGGGAGATCCGCCGACAGCTTAAAATTAAGTCAATAGTAATCAGAAAATCTATGCAATGGTAAAAAAAGTTTTATTTATTTGCGGTATGAGCAGATAGATGTCAAAGGTACGCTAAAAGATACTTCTAATTAATTATTATTTCAAAATAAGTCCTTGCGTTTAGTGTGTACTAAATGAAGTCCTGTAACATAGTAAAGCCAAACAAATACCAGGACAAAACACACTGCACCAATCTTTTTTCAGGAACTAAGGTACCCGAATAAAACTATAAACAATTTGTGTTTTTAGTTCAGTAAGATATTCTCCTGTTGATAACAGTTCTATCTCGCGTTCCTCGTTACAACCCTATGACGTCAGCGTTGCCTCTGCACGAGATATTTCAAAGATAATATTGAAACCGATACGCTGAAAGATTTCAATAAAACTTATGTATAATTTATGAACTTTTCATGATCTTAAATCATTCTTGTCTTCAGATTTCTGGCAAATATTAATAATGTATGCATCCTTAATGTCTCTCTTTGTAGCATGATAATTATATGTTCTCATATATAAAAAGAACATTAGACCAAGGGTTGAAATATTGAGTCTGTAAAACCATTGAAGGCATTGTGGCATGCACAAGCGTCTTTAAATGCTACATTGCTACCTTTCCAAACGGCAAAGGCAAAAGAGCGAAAATTATAACGGAAAGAGTTGCAAACAGCATCATTTTATAACGCTACCTTCACTGACAGTTAACGCAAATATCTAAGAATACTAAATCATCATATTATGTATGACAATTATTAAGATTAATGGACACTTAAAGTACAGTTGCTGAAACAGCTTCAAGCAGAGCAGATCAACATAATTATAAGTTATAAGAAAGGGTTGTTCTAGACGAGTTTAAATTGAAGGTGTAGCTAGGTAAATAATTTGACTACATGCCTTCTAAAGATTATGAATACAAATTCTTGTCCTTCAAAAAGTTCTTAACACGATGTTTTAATTTCATTTTCTTATATTTTTACCCCTTTTTGGCCTATAGAGAAAGATGTAGACGATCTTTAAGTGTATTGTTACAAACATAAATGTCGCTGGGTATGGGATTGCTAAATTTGACCTAGATGCTTGAAACAGTTATAAGACGCGACCGCTCGTATGGGAGAGGCATTTTTGATGTGAGAATACAACAATACTGATAAATTCAAACAGACAATACTGATAAAATCTGCTCGTAATCTGCAGAATGCAGCAGACTTCTATCATAAAACATGAACAATCAAGCGTTTATAGAATCGGCAAGCGTTTTTTCATACACACAAGCGTCTTCTGCGTCTTGGAAAAGGTCATTCACTTCCAGCGAGTTTGCTAACAAAAGGATGTATATGTCAACTTAATGATCAACATTATTTTTTGTCCAATCACATTGTAGTATTTTTCAAATTTCTGCTTTGTCTAACTTTGGTTAATGTGTACTAACTAAATAAAATTCACTTAATCTGTCGTCTAACCTCAGTCTAACAAATTTTAATAATGCATTATATTAGGGAGGAGTTAGAGGTATGGTTTACACTCTGATTTGTAAAATGTCAAAGTTAGCAAAACAATGCCAACATAACAAAATTTAGTCGAGGTCAGGTGTTTCTTAATGTGAGGATACAATCAACTGATTTATTACATAGATAATACATGTTGGGTACGCAGAGACAAATGATTGCATATTAACTTTTTTATATCCTTTGAACTCTAAGAAAAATGACTGTTATAAATTGCTGACTGTTTTAAACTTTATTTTTTATAGAAAAAGTAACCAAAACATTATTTTCTTTCACTTGATAGGAATAAACTGCATTAACAATCATTTATATTAAGAATACAATAATTACTACATTTTTTGGCTGGAAAACTCATTGAAAATGTACCCCCTTCACACAGAAAAAAATGAACTGTTTTTCAAATGAACAAATCAATAGGGATTTTTAATAATAGTGAATAACTTGAAGCTAATAACAAATTTGTATCAATGAATAATCTCTAATGTATTTTTTTCTCACATTTTCCATTTATTTTTAGAGGATGTCAAATTTTCATTAACTCCATTGTTTTTACCTAATTGCATCGTTTTCCTCGCTGTTTTTTCCAGACATATTATAAACATGATAGTCTTACTGTAGATAAAGGTATAAATTCTGTGACATTTCAGTAAATAATGTGCCTGGGCCATTTATTTAGCTTATCTAAATGTGACATGTTAGCAACTTGACAAGGTGTAGACATGTTGTAGAGCGAAAGGGCGGAGCTACAGGTGATTTAGAGAAATGCCTTGTTGTTAGTTGAAAAAAATAATGTTGATCATTAAATAGGTTAATGTTTAATAATATGCATTAACAAAAATAATTGGTCGCCTGCCTGCTGCAGGCTTGACCAATTATTTTTGTTAATGCATATTATTAAACGCTAACCTATACAAAAAGCCTATATTCCATACTCTAACAATACTTAAAATTGTTGTCTCACGATACATTTTCCGCTTGTATGTGTTAATGGCCTGAACAAAGTCTCCGTTTAGATCTGCATATATTCAGGAACAAGTTCGAACGTGGAACTTTTAAAAATTGTTTAGACTATCTTCAAATGCGATTGTTAAAAACAATACGATTGTTAAAAACAAGCATATCAAAGAGCGAAACGTGTGTTATTTCATACATACAAAAGTCAAATGATATAATTTATTAAAATCTAAGTGTTCGAGGTTAAGTAAGTATATTTTTCATCTCGAGATTTCGCAAAACGCTTATTGCTTCAGAGTAAACAATAACTACATACATTTATGTTGAGATGTTTGGAGGAATCTCATATATCTGATCATATCTGTAATAATATCAAAGATAGAGAGAACGAAGCGCCAATACTGTTGGGAATAATCTATCCGATAATAGGTCAGTGTCGGTAATTGGTCATTATAAACGTAATATCTACGATAACACCTGTCTGTACACCGCTTGACTAAATTGAAAACATTTTCTGGCATTTTGAGTCAACGGAATAAAGAAATTTTTGGCAGAATTCAAACAAAGAACACTGTTGTTGTGAAAGAAAAAACAACTTTTTGTCTTGGTCAAAATTTAGAATTTATTCGCATTATTTCAGAATTAGGTCAGTATGATGGTAA